CCTCCTCCTCCTCCTCCTCCTCCTCCTCCTCTCAGAACTCCCTTCTAGCACTGATGATGTTACCTAGTTGGGTAAGAAAAACCACCAAGCTCAGAGAGCACCAAGGACCCCTCCTTTCAACTCTTGAGCTATAAATATTCCCTTTATACGAACAACTTCCTATAAATCATGCCACAATTACAGATACTTAACTTTGCCGTAGCTAAATAGATTTATTTAACTATAGCCAGATATTTAACTATAGCTATATATAAAAAATTGTAGAAATAAATCAAAAGGTTGGGATTTTAAGCATTATGTCATATAGGCTGTCCTCAACTTACCACCAAAATTGAGATCCGAATTTCTGTTGTTAAGCAGGGAGGTTTTAAAGTGAGTTGTGCACATTTCAAAACCTCCCCCCCCCCCATGGAAAAGTGAATCAATGAAGCCGTTAAGTCAGTGTTTCTCAACCTTGGCCACTTGAAGATGTCTGGACTTCAACTCCCAATTCTGGGAGTTGAAGTCCAGACATCTTCAAGTGGCCAAGGTTGAGAAACACTGAGTTAAGTGAATCAATGAAGCCGCTAAGTGAATCAGTCAAGCCGTTAAGTGAATCCTGCAGTTTTTAAGTGAGGCTGGGCTCCCCCATTGTCTTTGGTAGCTGGAAGCCAGCTGGGAAGTTTATAAGTGTTGACCCAATGGCCATAGGATGCAACACCCCCCCCCCATCATAAATCCATAAAAATCCATAGATAAAAACATGTAGATTTTAAACCTGACCTTTTTCTGTTAGGCACCAGAAAAATTTGATGAGAAATATATATATATATATCTAATACTCCACGTATCAACAGCAGTGAGAATTATATTTGCACAATATTGGAAAAGAGACGAAGAGAATGGACAGACTTACACTGAAGATTAAACAGAAAGAAGATACGGAATATTATCAAACATCGAACTCATTCTACCAGCAGTTGGAAAAAACGGGGTGGAAACTAAGAATGCAATCTGCACACTGCTAAGCAAATAAAATAACCCAGACAACAGGANTTTTGTGGAACGCGGTTTTGACGGGTCACGGCCCAGGGGAAGCTGGAAGGGCTGAGAGTGTGAAAAAAGGCCGTAAGTCACTTGCTTCAGTGTTGTAAGTTGAAGTCGCCATTGTCGTCGTAAGCTGAGGACTACCTGTATAATGTTAGGACTGCAGCTGCACTTCCAAAGGGGAGGGACCAGGTGTCCCCCAGCCGGATACTTACTCGGAGCTCCTGCAGGTAGCACTGCACGGGGTCGTAATCCACCACCGGGAAAGAAATGGTTTTTGTGGTACTGCTGCTCTTCAGTGTCCCCCGGTGGAAGGACGCGGTGGGCCGGTCCACCGCCTCCAAGTGCCTGGGAATTTGCTTGGGGTTCAGGTGGATGAGGACATCATAAAGGTCCAGCGGAGGCCGGAAGGCCATCTGTAAGAGAGAAGCCATGGTTTTACGGGCAGCAGATGAGAACCACGGGGCCCGGGAGGAACATTAGAGGCCACCTAGTCCCACCCTCCTCCCACTGGAGTTTTCTTGATTGTGGGCCTCATGATTAATCTTGGGGGGTTAATCTGTGCTTCTCTGGGTTTTGACAGCTCGTGGGGGGGAGGTATTTTCTCAGGAGACATCCTAGACCGGAGCCAAGACCAAAAACGACAGAGATTTCCTGGAAGCCTGATAAAATAAAACAGCTTCACACCCTCGTGGCACAGCTTAGCAGAATAAACTCATCCAGGAAAAGATTCAGCAGTCCGTCTGCATTTGAAAGACAAAAGCCACCCTTTTGAAGACGGCAAAGTCCACCCTTTGGACACAGAGAGGACCGCTGGGTTGAGAAGAGGACAAGAGACCACCTGTGGCCAAAGTGAACATCCCTCTCTCAACAGAGGGGGAGGGATACGACATCATCCATCTCTAGTCTACAACACCCTCCTTTCAGCAGTTCTAAGGAGGCTCCACATCTATTTGCACCACTCAGGACACAGATAAACCTCCAAGTGGCCTCAACGATTCTCTAAAAAGGATGCAAATGACCAGCTGTCTGCAAGGAGTATCAATCCTTCCCCACCGTCCAGTCAGAGCTGAAGAAGCCTCTTGGATGGGAAGCGAAACGCCTTCAAAGGAAAAACAAGTCCAGTTGCCTTCTGAAAAAGCACTTTTGGGACATCCTGGAAGTCTGGCATCCTGACAAATTGGCCACCAACAGACCCACCGACATAAACAACATCTACATATTATGCAAAATAGACAATCGACAAGTCAACAAAGGTAACAGACATATACCCCAATCAAGGAATTGCCAAACAAGCTAAAAGTAAACAGACCAACCAAAGAACCTCCAAGATTACTCCTGCCAACATTCAAATGACAGAGCGAGTCTAAATTGAGTGCAAACCCCACTCCTTTCTAACACTATGTCAGCGCTCCAATGTAGAATTAAATCAGAGTCCAAGGCAAAATGATCCTTAAAGTTCCAATTTAATAAGCCAGACATCTTAGCACATCTGTGTTAATCCCAATTCTGGAAATGACATCAGAATCCCACCCAGTTAAAAGTTCACAATCTTG